TAATATTTAAATATGGTGATTCACATGGTTTTATCTACATTGCATACAGTAAGTACGTAAATAAGACAAAGGGAAGACAATCCTAGAAGAACCTCCAAGCAAACCTCTTACACCATAACTTTTATACAGTACCTTCTGCCGCAATCCTTCACTGGTACAACGACTTCCTCTCTAATAAACTCTACTTTGATGAAAATCTCCTGACAAGATCCAATGCCCAAGAACATCCTTACTGAATTACCATTAAAGGCAATCTAGAGATTATTCAAGGAGGGAGAGAGAAACAATATCCCAGTTGTCTGGGTGTGAGAATGACAAATGAGGCTCCCTATTTATAGATTCGCAGCTGATACATTCTGGACGGCCGTTGGGGTTGGGCTTGTCTCCAACTTGCAAAAATTTGGAACATTCAGCCAAGCTGGTGATCAGTGGGGACCGTCAGCCCAGGTACTGGGACGGCTCGTCCCCACTTGACTCTAGGTCTGGGACGCCCAAGGTGAGCCCGTCTCATCTGGCCTTTGGCTGTCGTCCTCCCACCTTGGCCCTGCTTCTTGTCCGGGACCATCCTAAGCTTTCCCTTCCTTCTGTACCAATCATGCCCACATGGTCCTGAGATCCATCTTCATGTAGGCCACTCAAGATGTCCTGTTAGCTTCATTGTGTAAGTCCTTTGGCCTTTGTCAGACATTGGACTAAGTGGGACGACTAGCTTAGGTTGGGACGGCCGTCCCACTTGAATTTTAGGGTTTGGGATGTGCGTCCCAAAGGTGAGACGTGCGTCTCACTTGCCTTTTGCTGTTTGGGACGGCTGTCCCAACCTGTCTTGGCCTGTTTTCGCGTTCTGGGGACCACCGGGAAGCTTTCCTTTCCTTTTTCGGACGTAGATTGATGCCGATAGATGTCCGTTGAAGATTGATCTTCATGTAGGAAGTCTTTTTGGCCCTCATTAAGATGTCGGGCGAGCTTTTATCGTTGTGTAGGAAGTCTCTTTGGCCTTTGTCGAGACATTGGATGAACTCCGTGTGGTTGTGGGAGGTCTTCTTATTGTTTATTGATTAGCTGGGCGATCTTTATCTTCGTGTGAAGTTTCCCTAGCTTTTATTGAGAGGTCGGGCAAAATTAGGGGTTGAGTGACCCACACCAATGCGCAACAAGTTTTTTCGAATGGTGTATAATGGGTTTCGTAGTCCGAGAATTTCTTACTGAGATAATAAATGGCCCGTTCCTTTTTTCCGGTTTCATCATGCTGGCCGAGCACACATCCCATGGACTCTTCGAGGATTGATAGATATAGGATCAAAGGTCTCCCTTCAACGGGTGGTACCAATACTGGTGGATTGGTTAAACATGTTTTGATTTTATCGAACGCTTGCTGGCATTCTTCGCTCCACACCGTTGGCTGATTTTTGCGCAACAGTTTAAAGATGGGTATACATTTATCCGTTAACTACGTGATGAAACGGGCAATGTAGTTTATCCGGCCCAGAAAACCTATGACCTCCTTTTCCGTTTTTGATGGAGGCATTTCCAAAATTGCCCTAGTTTTGTCGGAGTCCACCTCAATTCCTCTTTCACTGACAATGAACCCTAGGAGTTTTCCTGATCGTACTCCGAAAGTACATTTTGCTGGGTTTAGCTTAAGTTGATACTTCCGAAGCCGATCGAAAAGTTTTCGGAGATATTGAATGTGGTCCATTTCATTTCTGGACTTGGCGATCATGTCGTCCACATATACTTCTATTTCTTTGTGGATCATGTCATGGAATAGTGTGACCATAGCCCTTTGGTAGGTGGCCCCTGCATTTTTCAGCCCAAACGACATTACCCGATAGCAGAAAGTGCCCCATGGTGTAATGAAGGAGGTTTTTCCTCTATCCTCAATGGCCAGTTTGATTTGGTTGTACCCTGCATACCCGTCCATGAAGGAATACAACGTGTTGGTAGCGGTATGGTCTACTAGTGTATCTATGTGTGGTAGGGGAAAGTCGTCCTTTGGACTTGCACGATTGAGGTCCCTATAATCCACGCAGACCCTGACCTTCCCGGTCTTTTTGATGACGGGTACTATGTTGGCCAACCATTCTGGATATTTGGAAACCAGCAGGAAATTGGCATCCAATTGCCTTTGCACCTCCTCCTTTATCATTAAGGACCAGTCGGGCTTGATTCTTCTAAGTTTTTGCTTTACAGGTCGGCACCCCTCTTTCAGTGGCAATTTGTGTTCCACTATACTCGTGTCAAGCCCAGGCATGTCATGGTACGATCAAGCGAATACATCCACATATTCCCTCAGAAGTTGTATCAACCCCTTTTTCATGCTACTTTGCATTTGGGTGCCGATATTCACCTTTTTCTCCTCATCCTCTTTTCCTAAATTGACAGTTTTTATTTCCTCCTGATGCGGTTGTATGATGCGTGTTTCCTTTTCCAGCATCCTTTGCATGTCCGGAGAAATGGTCTCCTGCTCACTGTCGGACTCAATCCATTCGTCTTCCGTTTCCAGGGTCCACGGAGATTCATCAATCATAGTCATGATGTGTTTTAGGTTCTGTTTTTAGTCATAGATTTTATTATTCATTTTATTTTTGAAAGAATAATAAATAAAAGAGGGAAAAGAGAGAATATGATAAAAATGCCTCGTATATTAATGAAGATGAAGATGTATGTACAAGCCCTTTTTAATCAAAATTCCTGCGGCCACGGGCGGGGACCGCAGGAGATATAGAGAAAAGCTTAAAAAGAAAAGACCCTAGGGCTGATCCTCCCAGTCCTCCCTCTCTGCTACTCTAGTTTTGACAGAGGTTTGTCGTCCGTGCTGGAAGCAGAGGCATCAAAAGTAATCCACCCGGCGTCGATTAGTTCTTGAACCCGATACTTAAGGGTCAAGCAGTTCTCTGTAGAGTGACCGGGTGAGCCCGAATGGTAAGCGCATTTTTCGTTTGGCTTATACCATTCGGGGTAGGGAGGCTCCAATTGTTTCTTGGGAGGGACGCAGGTCAGGAGCTTAGCCTCCAGCAGTTGAGGCAGCAGCAGTCTGTAGGAAGTGGAGATTGGAGTGAACTTCCTTTCTTTCTTGCGGGGCTGCCTGGGCGTTTGTGGGGTAGAGGAAGGAGTGGCGAAATTGATTGCGTGCACAGATTCGTCCTTCTTTTTGCCAACAGGTTTCCTGAAGGAGACACCAGCTTGGGAAGACTGTGCTATCTTCCCGCTCCTCAGTCCTTGCTCCACCCTCTCGCCCACAGTGACTATGTCTGAGAAAAGGTTGGAGGTACTGGCTATTGCCTTGTCGTAGTACGCTCCAGTCAGTGAGTCGATGAACATAGCCACTGTCTCCTTGTCCGTCAAAGGAGGCTCTATCTGGGCTGCCATTTCCCTCCACCTTTGGGCATACGCTTTAAAGGGCTCGTCGTTCCTCTTGCTTAGAGTTCTAAGATCTGACCTGTTGGGTGTCAGATCGATGTTGTATCGGTAACGACGGAGGAAAGCGTCTCGCCAACTATTTCCAGCTTCGGACTCTGCCCTCTCTCCAACCGCATGTACCAGCTTGAGAGCCGTGTCCGCCGACTCTCCCGGAAGCAATGGATCGAGAGTTTCTCGTTATCTGAGCATGGGCGGCCATCTTACGACAATACATCGTAAGATGATTCTTAGGGCAGGTCATCCCGGCGTACTTGGGGAAGTCCGGTTTTTAAATTTGGGAGGGAAGCGGATGTCCTTCACGAGGCACATGTCGCCCACCTCCTTAACGTCGAAGTTATGCCCTTCGACCGCCTTCACCTCTCCTCCAGGCGTAGAGTTATTGTTTGGACACTTCGGGTAAGGATGCGTGTAGTCTTAGCATCCTTCCCGCCAAAAAAGTATTCTTCCTCCTCTTCCTCATGTGGAGGGACATGTTCAGCCTTGGTCTTCGCCCTTGCTCCGCCCTCGGCGTATGACCTCCATCGGCTGAGCCACTTGCTCGCGGAGAGTATCGACTTCCGCAGACAAGCTTTCGGTTTTGCTCCTCTAACTTTTCCATTGCTTTAGCTTTTTGTGCACGAGTACGAGTGGGGAGAGGACCAGCCACTTTCTAGAATGTCTCGCAAAAGTTTTATTAATGCATGTTGAGTGCTTAAACTAATCATGAGTATGCTTATGCATGAGAGATTTTATTTAAATGATGCTGAATGCGCTTTCATTTTTATTTTCTCTCTTGATTTTTCTTTACTCATGATATGATGTAGTATGGATGAGTTGACTTTGTCAGAAGTTGTTTATTTATTATTTTTTTTATTTGATGTTTATTTTATAGCCTTTTATCCCTTCTGTCGGAACTGCGTGGCTACTTAGCTTACAAAGAACCTGAAACCAGGCTAGCTAAAAGGCAGACTGTCCGAGATAAAATATGGCTTTATGCGAAAGAAATATTTAGCGTCCCTTATCTCTTCTGTTGGAACTGTGTGGCTACTTAGCTTACAAAGAACCTAAAACCAGGCTAGCTAAAAGGCAGACTGTCCGAGATAAGGGTGTTTATTTGTGAAAAATATTTTTGGTTTTTGTTCTGTTGTTTGTTTATGCCATGCAACATACAAATGCAACAATCATATGCACACACAATTCGATCATCCCCGAACAGGCGAGATTTCGTTTTTATCACGAGGTAGGGTTTTCCTGCAGAAAAGTGCATTGGTCAGGGTAGGTTCTAACTGTTCTCACCAGGCTAAGGCCCCCAAGGTGCCCCCATTATAGGGTCCCCACTCTCCAGCCGTCCGACCATGCTCAGCACTAAAGGCCAGAGTCGGTCTTGTTGCCAAAAGAGGAAGGTTATCACCTTGAGTGGTGGTTTCCGATCACACTGGTGGGCACAAGGCCCTAACTACAGCGAACCGTACCTGCCACCCACTCCCTATGGTTATCTCACTTGCCCCCGGGTATAGAAGGAACTGTAGTGTGCAAGGGTTTGTGTGCAATTTATATTTCAATCAATTGTGTAAGTATAAACAAGCAACAGTTATTTGAAAGCCAAACAATAAAGCATGTTATAATACAAGGCAGGGTAAAAGCGCTATTTTCTTGGTTTAATTATTTTTAAGCCGGCCTATCACTAAATGGGATCAACTCTCTGGACTTCCCCAGCAGAGTCGCCATCTGTTGCCGCCTCCCAAAAACGAAGGGGCGGTCGGAGCAACGAGATGGTTTTTCGACCCTCTCTTGCTTTCGCGTTTTTTATGCGTGGTTACAACGTCCTTAGGTTGTCCGATAACCGGGCTAACCTAGAGACGAGGTTTTCGAAAAGTGTTCTTGGGTTGTCCGATAACCGAGCTAACCCAAGAACGGGTTTTGAAGGGTTCGTGGAGTCGCCACCGATGTTTTTACCGGAAACATCGGAAAAGGAGTTTAAAAAGGCGTTGGTTTTCGAAAACCAACTTTGGTCATTAGAACCAGAGTTGGGTAAGGGAGTTAGTTACGTGCAAAAGAAGTGTTAGTTCCTTTACGACGCCCCTTTCGGGTTCCCTATGATAGGCCGGCTACTTTGGATAAATAATTAAACTGGAAAATTGCGCTTTTACCCTTTTATTATGCGGTATTTAAAGATTATGACTACATGGCCCTAGCGTCTATTGCATAATTCTA